GTGGGAGGGAGCAGAGGCCATATCACCCCACCCAACCGTTCTTCTCCTCCTCACTATTTCTTCCCTCCCCATCTGAAAACAAGTTGGTTTTGACTTACCGGTACCACGTCACTCTCTTGGTCCAATCTGTGATAAAAATCCTGTGGTTCATGTAAAAGATACAGCTGGTCTATATTGGAAAGAGATGAAAAGAGAAGGAGGAGGAAGGAGGGTAGGAAGCGATCTTCGTGGACCGTCCATCAATGAAGCAGAATAGAGCAGAAAGGGAAATTGAAGGTCTTCTAGTCCACACACACACACACACACACACACATACCATGCTCATTCAAGAGACCCTACACCATTTCATCCCACTGGCTGTCCAGTCCGGTCTTAAAAAGGAAGAGGTCAATTTATTGTCCAAAGCCCCTGAAGTCAGAACAAGAAACAACGGATGGAAACTCATCCAGCAGAGAAGCAACCTGAAATTAAGGAGAAACTTCCTAACAGCGAGGACAATTAACCAGGGGGACTGCTTGCCACCAGAAGTCGTGGGTGCGCCATCCCTGGAGGTTTTTAAGAAGAGATTGGATGCGTCCAGAAGGCAAAATCACGAAACTGTCTCACTTATTTTGGCCATGATGTGCAGGAAAATTCTCTGGAGAAAGAAATTATAATTGGAAGAGGTGAACAGAAATCTGGTGATTCTCCATTATCCAAGTCATGGTTGTCTCAAAGGTGCGTTTTTTTGTTCAAGAAGCAACTAGACTTTCTGGTTTTTTTTCTTTGAAGATGTTTCGCTTCTCATCCAAGAAGCTTCTTCTGTTTTGACTGGATGGTGGGGAAGGGAAGGATTACTACTCCTTGCAAGACAGCTGATCATTTGCATCCTTTTAGAGGGTCGTTGAGGCCACTTGGAGGTTGGTCTGTGTCCTCGGAGCCACCTGAGTGGTGCAAATGGATGTTTGGAGCCTTCTTCAAATCTGCACACGTCTCACTGCATTGTACTGTGTATCCCAAGGATACAACACCCAGACACAAACTGAGCCACGTGCTATACGCGGTCCAATGCAGTGAGCCCTGTGCAGATCTGAGCACTGGGGAAACAAAACAGACACTTCACAAACGCATGGCGCAACACAGGAGAACAAATGCATTAGGACGAGATTCGGCTGTCCATTTGTATTTAGAACTCAAAGGCCACACTTTGGAAGATAGCATGTCTGCATGTTGGTCAGAGAGGATTGAAAGACGGGTCGAAGAGGCCATCCGTCAGGGTTCCAAGCGATATATCCATCCCAAGCAAAAACTCCGAGGCAGGTAGTTTCTTCAAAAAATTGTTTTGTTGGAAATATCATATTGGCACATATATCGGGGTGGAAATTGGCACGGAAGAGTCCCACGGTTTTCACCTAATGAAGAGCGAAAGGTTTCCCCCCCCCATCAGTCACTTGGCCCAATCAAGGCAGCATCTGCTGGTCAGATGACCTCACTCCTCCTTCCTCCAGCCAGGTGTGAGCCATGACCTTGATTCCCGAGAGAAAGCATTTTGCTTTGACCACACAGTCCCAACCATCCCGAATCCCCACCTCCCTATCCCTCAGTTCCAGTGTGGCAGCACTGAAGCTCCAAGATGGCTTCACCCAGGTCAGGGTGGACACCATCGATGTCCCAATTAAACAGCCCTCCCTCAACAGAGGGGGAGGGATACAATGTCATCTATCTCCAATCGACAGCTCCTTTCAGCAATTCCAAGAAGGCTCCACACACATTTGCACCACTCAGGTGACCCTGAGGACACAGAGAAGCTGTTGGAAGGAGCAAGTGGCCTCAAGGACCCTCAGAAAGGAGGCAAATGACCAGCTCTGTCTACAAGGAGTATAAATCCTTCCATTCCCCACCATCCTGTCAGAACTGAAGAACCTCTTGGATGAGAAGCAAAACATCTTCAAAGAAAGTCTAGTTGCCTCCGGAAAAGGCACCGTTGGGACAACCATGACCTGGATGACGGAGAATCTCTACAGAGTTTTAGCTATCGTACAATTTAGGATGAATATCCTTGGAATGGTGTAGGAGTAGGAATAGATTTCCAGAAGAAAAATTGCAGACTACAGGAACCATTTTCACCACTCAGGTGACTCTGAGGACACAGATAAACCTTCAAGTGGCCTCAACAACCCTCTAAAAGGATGCAAATGACCAGCTGCTTGCAAGGAGCATAAATCCTTCTCTTCCCCAGTATCCAGTCAGAGCTGAAGAAGCTTCTTGGACTGAGAAGTGAAATGTCTTCGAAAGAAGAAACCAGAAAGTCCAGTTCCCTCTTGGAAAAAGAAAAAAAAAGGCACCTTTGAGATCTTGGATCATACTAGACCAACTTGGTTCCTTCCACCCACCTCTGTCTTCTCCTCAATGGGAATCTCCATCAGGCAAGCCCCATTGTTGAAGTTCCACAGTTTGATCATCCCGTTTTTCAGGGCGGTGATGAGTCGCCGTTCTGGTGGATCAAAGATCATGCCGGTCATCTCCAGGGCTTGGTCTGAGGTGGTGGAAAACTCCATAATCTTCTGCCCGGTCATGACATCCGAAACAGTGACCAGCCCGTTGTAATAGCCGCTGACTGCCTGTGAGGGAAAATTTCCGAGAAATCAGTTGAGTCCGTTGACCCTGGACTCAGGTGGGGTTGGTCTAGAAGACCAAAAAGGTCCCTTCTGATTCTGTTGTTTATGGAGAGTCTCCATCATCCAAGACAGGGCGGCCATCCAAGAAGCTTCTTCAGTTCTGAGTGGATGGTGGATGAAATCTTTCCCTTCCTCACCATCCAATCAGAGCTGAAGAAGCTCCTTGTATGAGAAGGTAAATCTCTGTGATGACCCAAAGGGGCGTGGCACAAAGGCAACCCAGTCAGATAATCAGTAGGAGTCCCTTTATGTGCTCCAACTTTGCCCCCAATGTCCTGGTTATCTTCTGGGCTGGAGAAAAACTCTCCCAGGAACAGCGTTTGGCTGCAGAGAATCAAGTCCAAAACAAGGTCAACAAAAACTGTAACTTTAAGTCCAATCAAGGCAAAATGAGGTCATTAGTCCGGCAGGGCAGGAGCAAAAATTCCAGATGTGAAGGCACAGCAATAACTCAACATGGTTGGGAAGACACCAGAAACACAGATAATCAAAGTCAACACAAGATAAAGTCACGTTTGTTCCCAGAAGATGCCGCAAAGAGCATGCATCTCTTTTAAACTCTCTTCCCAACTGTGGCTAATGAAGGGAATCAGGGCCCTTTCCTCCCCCGTAAGCCAGGCAACCCACATTGCTCCATTCCCTGTTCCTCCCTGCGTGCTCTAGGATGAAGAAGAGGTGGACCTGGCTCTTCCTCTGAATTCCCCTCTCCCTTGTTCTACCTCTCCCCTGCTCTGCCCAGCTGGACTTTGCCCTTCCCCAGTTTCCTCCACAGCCAACGGAGCCACACTCCCGCTCCCTGTCAGCTGCTCATCTTCCTCCTCGGATTCAGACTCCGAGAGGGGCACGACACTCCTCGGATGAGAAGTGAAATGTTTTCAAAGAAGGAAAACCAAGGGAAAAAAACCAAGAAGGTGGGGAAAGCACCTGCGGGACACGCCCTCATGTTGTTTGATTCTACATTTCAAAATCTGCTTTGCTTGAAAAAGTAGGCTGGATGGAACAATTCACCCCCTTGAATATCAAAGGTAGGTTTTTAGGGTGATTGACTTGGCCCCAAACTGAACTGAGACCTGTGCTCAAGAAGAATGTCCACGCGCACCCAAACAAGGCTCATGTTTTCAGAAGGACACCTTTGCTCCCCTTTGTTGTGGCTAGCCGGCAGCAGGTGTGGATGGCTGAGGAGAGCGAGGACTCAGATGTGGGGCCAGGACCATCAGGGAGAGACTGCTACCTTCAGAGATTGTGGGGCGCTGGCAGCAGCAATGAGGAGGTTCCCGAGGAGCCTGTGCTAAGTGCGCATGAGCGCAGGGCTGCTCGCAGGAAAAAACAGCTACAACAGCACGGGCGACTCAGGAGTAAGGCTGCAAGGTGATGGCCCCTCCTTCAAGGAGATAAAAGCCAGCTGTGAAACGAACGTACTTTGCAGGAAGCAAAGACGTTTTGAAACTCCAGCCTCGTGGACATTCCGGTATCCTGAGTTTGTATTTGAAGATTCTTGTATTGCAAATTATTTTTTGTCCGTTATCTTTTGGCAAATCTCGCACCGTTTGGCGAGGCTTGTGCTTATCACAGCTAATTATTTTGCAAAAGCCTTACAAGGTTTCTGTTCCTTTTGGATTGTGTTTGGTTTGTTGGAAAAGGGCGTGGGTCAGAACACCTTAAAAGATCACTTTCAGTTCAACCTCCCCCCCACCCCCAGCCTGCACCTCTCCCCCACAATTTGTCACCTGTTTGAAGATCTTGTTGTAGAGGGCACAACACAGCAGAGGCTCCTGGGTCTTCATTTCCGCCTCAGTGAATTCAGCACCAAAGAATAACCCAATCTGGAGTTAAAATGGGACCAGGTGTCAGGCCGAAGAGACGGCGAGACCCAATCAAATGAGAGAGGAGAAGGAGGGGGAGGAGAGAATTTGGGGGTCCTTGGTACTCTCTGAGCTTGGTGGTTTTCTTGCAGACGTTTTGTGATCGAACTAGGTAACATCATCAGTGCTAGAGAGGAGTGGGGTTTGCAGAGAGGAGGAGAACGGGGAGGAGAAGGAGAAGGAGAGGGACTCCGAGCTTGGTGGTTTTCTGGCAGACGTTTCATGACCGAACTAGGGAACATCATCAGTGCTAGAAGGGAGTGGGCTTGGAGGAAGAAGAAGAAGAGGAGGAGGAGGAGGAGGAGGAGGAGGAGGAGGAGGAGGAGGAGGGGGGGGGGGAGGAGGGGGGGGGGGGGGAGGGGGAGGGGGGGGGGGAGGAGGAGGAGGAGGAGGAGGAGGAGGAGGAGAACTGTGGAGTCCTTGGTACTCTCTGAGCCTGGTGGTTTTCTTGCAGACGTTTCATGACCGAACTAGGGAACATCATCAGTGCTAAGAGGGGAGTGGGGTTTGCAGAGAGCAGGAGGAGGGGGAGGAGGAGGAGCGTGGGGTCCTTGGGGCTCTCTGAATTTGGTGGTTTTCTTGCAGACATTTCATGACCCAGCTAGATAATATCATCCAAGCCAGTAGGGAGTGGGGCTTGCTGTCAATGTATACTCGGGTGTCCTGCCCTGTTTAGCGTCTGCGGGGCTGTTCCTGGTGGCTTCCTGTGACCCACTCAGACCCACAGGCCAGCCTTCTCCCCGTCCAGCCAAGCCCTCACCTTGTAAGTGGCGCAGATCAAGATATTTTGATGCCGGTGGTAGTAAACGGAGGAGATGGGGCAGTTGCCCAGCGGGACGTTCCGCCCGTGGATCGACTGCAGGCAGAAGTGATCCAGTAGATCCCAGACGCGGATATTCTGGAGAGGGGAGAAGAGAAGAGCTGACAGGGACGCAGCAGCAGGGAAAGGCCAGATCCAGTTCTCCAGCCGGGATCCCAAGCCAAGAATCTCGTGCAGGGATTCCTCGATGTACAAACAATTCCTTTTAGTGACCGCTCAAACTTACAACGGCACCAGGGAAAAAAGTGACTTTTTCACACAACAGTTGCGGCATCCCCGCGATCACTTGATCAACATTCAGCCGTCTGGCAACTGACTTACACTTATGATGGGGGCCACGTGATCCCCTTTTGCGACTGTCAGTGTGATGACCCAAAGGGGCGTGGCACAAAGGCAACACAGTCAGATAATCAATAAGAGTCCCTTTATTATCTCCAACTGTGCTCCCAATGTCCAGGTTACCTTCGGCTGGAGAAAAACTCCCAGGAACAGCCTTTGACTGGAGAAAATTCAGTCCAAAACAAGGTACACACAAACTGTAACTTAAACTGTAACTTAAACTCCAAACAAGCCAAACTGAAGTGGTTAACTTGACAGGGCAGGAGAAGGAATTTCAGACTTGAAACCACAACAAAACGCACACAGTTGGGAAGACGCCAGGAACACAGATAAGCCACGATGATACAAGATAATTCATAATTTGCTCCCAACAACTTGCTGCACGCAGCTTCCCTTTGTAAACACTATTTTCCCAGCTTCAGCTAATGAAGGGAATCATGGCCCGTTCCTCCCCCGTAAGCCACGCAATCCATGTTGCTCCCTTCTCTGTTCCTCCCTGCGTGCCCTAGGATGAAGAGAGGGTGGGCCTGGGTCTTCCTCTGAGCTCCCTCTCCCTTGTTCTACCTCTTCCCTGCTCTGCCCAGCCGGACTTTGCCCTTCCCCAGTTTCTTCCACAGCCAATGGAGCCACACTCCCACTCCCTGTCAGCTGCTCGACCTCCCCCCTCCAAATCAGATTCCGACAGGGGCATGATAGTCAGGATTCCAGCAATCGGCCTAATGAAATCATGATCCTTGAGCCAAACTTCAAAACATTCTGGCCCTGCCCTGCATGAAACCAACTCTGGCCTATGTCATTTCCAGTCCCCTGGGACCCTGTTTCCCCCCTCCCTCCCCCCCCGGGGGTTTCATAAATCAGATTCTCCAACTGAGCACCGTCACGGGCTGGGTGTCATCAATCACATTCTCCAATTACGTTCTGGGTGTCATCA